ATTCTCCCCTGCAGTCCCCGGAGGGAATGAGGCCTTGAGGACACCTTGATTTTGAATTTCTGGCCTCTAGAACTGAGAGAATAAATTTCTGTTGTTTTTAGTGACGGGTCTCATTGTGTTGCCTTGGCTGGAGTGCGGTGGCACCGCTGATTAGCTGGGGAGTTTTGACCATTTCTGACCCAGGCGGATTTCTCCCCTTCTTAGGCAGCAGGGTGGTCTTCTGTCACCACATTGATGCTGAACTTATCGAAGACACATGAGCGGCATAGCCCGCTGCAGCCCAGAACTGCACTGTGCCTGGCACTGCTGTTGTTTTAAGCCACAAAGCTTGTGGTCATTTGTCCCAGCAGCCACAGGAAGCCAATCCATGTTGAGCATCGGAAATCATTTCGAAACAAAATCATCTTGAAATATTGCAGAACCTGAAACTTTCTGAGCATCAACACGAGGCTCAAAGGAAATGCTCCCCGAAGCATTTCCGATTTCAGATTTTTGGACTTGGGATGCTCAACCAGTGAGGATATAATGCAAATATTCCAAAATCCAAAACCTTTTCTGGTCCCAAGGAACAGGTTGAGCACCCTCCAGGATGCAAACCCCAAGCAGGTCCAACCCGTTCTGCAGCTTCTCTGCCCCCACTCCGGGCACTTTCTCTAAGTGGAAGCAATTTCCCCCAGTGAGTGAAGCAAGCTAACTGAAACACCACTTGCGAAGTGCCACACCCATCCTCACTCCAATCACTCTCTCTCCCTGTGCTCAGAAAGTAGGGGCCCTTGGAAGGCACACATTTCTAGAAGCCCTGACCCTTGTCAGAGGTGGGGAGGCTGTCACTTCTGGAGAGGCGAGGTAGGGGGCAATGGGGGGAGCTCTTATGCACACCCAGATGGCAAGCCCAGCTGTAGGGGAAATTTCACAGACCCCAGAGACTGTGCTGGCCCTCAGGGAGCAGACAGTGGCCTGTATTGTGGTATGACCCCTAGTGAGCCGTAGTGTTTTGCCTGCAAACGAAACAGGAGTGTGGAGGGAGGTTCCCAGGTTTTTTCTTTTTTTCCATCTTGCAACTGGCATTTCTGATATGATTGTGGGGGATTTCCACCAACCAAATTAAAGACAATTCAATTTTAGTATTAACTGCAAGGAGAGAGGTGGAGTTTTGCTAACTTTGCTATTTATGAAACACTTAACATTTCCCTCCCTCCAAACAGCCCAGGTTCTACCATGTGCAAGCGGACAGGGCTCTAGTTCCTTCGACTCTCCTGGAGCCCTGGCTCCTTGGACCATCCCTGACAACAGCTTTGCTGGGAAACACATTTGTCCCCTGTGGAGTGGCTGAAGCCTCACTCAAGGCTGAAAGAGCTTTTCAAAGGTCCCATGTTAAGGGAACATTTGCTGGGGCCCCAAACCTCACCATCAGACCCACAGAAGCAGCTGGTCTCTGGAGGGAGGTAACTGCTCTCTAAACAAAAATGGTTTTGAAAAATAAGGCAGCCAAAGGGGAATTGCTTCATAAGCCGCACATTCACTTCTCCCTTTAACTGTGCAATTCTAGAAAAACAAGGTGAAGCAGGAACTGCCCCCCTGCCCCCCCATCCCACCCAGTTGGACTCCCTCCCTCTTGGTGCAAAAGCTAATTGACTCCTGAGGCTAGTCTCTAATCACTCTCTTAGCACAGCCCCTAGTTCCCAGGGGATCTCAGGAGCTACTACACTTAGAAAAGCAGAGGAGATAGAGACCGTGGTGCAGTTCGAGGACACAGTGGTGGCAGGTACAGAGACGGCACAAACACCAAACACCGCTTGTCCTGATACAAGAGTCAATCAGCATGGCCTGAGCCCATCAGGGCACTCACTCTAATTCCAGAAACATCTGTGTTGGCAGTGTAGCCAATACAGTTTCCGCACGTGGGGTAGTGGCTCAGAAGGAGGTGAGCTTCTCTAGAGGGAGCAACTGGGTTTTAAGTGCTTCTCCCCAGTGCTCTCCAGGGTGTGTTCCATCACTCAGAGGAGCTGGTAAAAGCACCAAGGGAGAATCACCCCAGGAGGCCCCAGGCAGTCCCCTCTACCAGCCCTGAGGGCTGGAATCCTGACATCAAGAAATCAAAACTCCAGCAGGCCACAGGAATGCTAAGAGTTTGACAGTTTTTACTTTGTAGAGAGCTGCAGCGAAAGCTCTCTCTCTATCTCCCTGTGTTTGGCAGCAGGACCATCCAGCAGAAGCTTCCTTCCCACTTATCACATCAATCAAACCCTAGGGGGTTAATGGCAATAGCTGAATTTGCAGAGGAGTGTCAAGGGTACCCCAGAGCCTGCATCCCTGAAAGGACACCCCCAAGCCTCCCCATCCCCTCACCAAGAGAACTGTCAGGATGTTCTCTGCAGTGGGCAAGTGCTTCCAGCACCTCAAAGAGCCAGGCTTGTAAATGGTGGGGGTGGGTGTGATATTTAACTTTTCCGAGCCTTAGTTTCCTTAACTAAAATGAAGACAACATCCCTTAGCTCAAACAGTTGCTCAACGGAAAACGCAGAAGTTAAAAAAACGATCAATTCTATGGAGAAAAAAGTCCCTATGCTTCCATTCAATTAAAAGATCACCTGGCACTAACAAGCGCCCCGGCAGTGTCCAACTCTCCCGGAAGACAGCAGCAGTGAATTCTCGGTTTCAAAGTCCCTTTGGATCAGTTCCCTTTGGAAAACTTTGAGAGAGGAAAAGTACTCTCCACCCTGAAGGCACACCTGCTACCCACATACACACGCACAACTTCACCCAATGTCTCAGAGGTGCAATTCAGGACCTCCAGGGCCCTCCTTCCAGAGAGCACCTGAACCACGCATGAGAAGGCTGCTCAATCAGCCCGACGCCCCACGCAAGAACTGGGCAGATCTCAAGGGTTCCGCCCCAGGGCGCCCCCAGTCCCGGACCCGAGAAATCCATCCCTATTCTCTGCACCACCCCCATCCCCAACGCACTTTTCGGGGTCTCCCATCGGGCTTTGTTCGACTCTTTGAACCCCTCACGTACTCGCCAGGGCAGAGCGCGGTTGGCTGAGCAGTGGTCCCATTCTGGTGCCCAGGAAAGGTCTTCTCAGCTCCCCTCTCCTCGATCTCAAGGAAGGAGGTGCAGAGGAAGCCTAAATAAAAACAGGAAACTCAATTAAAAAAAAAAAAGCCTCATTCAGGCTAAATTTCGGGTAAGAGTATTTAAAAAAAAAAAAAAGGTCCGGAAATGCAAAGCTGGAGGCGGTTTTGCCGCTGTAACCCGGGCTCAGCCGCAGATCCGGGGGCGATCTCGCCTGCGCCGCTGTAGTCCACCGGGCAAGCGGCGCGGGCAGCCTGGGCGCGGGCGGGGGTGGCACGTTCCCGCGCGGGGAGGGAGCGCACGGAAACTTCGCGCCCCGCTCGCTGGGCTGGGGAGGGCGCGCGGGGCCGGGGCGCCGGCGAGCTGTGCGCGGCTCTCTCCCCGCGCTCGGCGGGCGCCGCCAGCAGGAGCGAAGCAGGGACCCCGGAGCCGTGCAGCTTGCCCACGCTGGGAGCGCTCCCCGTTGTCTGGCGCAGGCCGGCTCGGCAAGGCGCACGGTGCCAGCGCGGGGAGCCGCGCGTCCCTCTCGGCGGGCCCCGGCCCGGAGCTCAGTCTGGGCGATGCAGCCCCGGGGGCGCCCATTCCTGGCTCGCTAGACGCGTTACCAGGGCGCGCCGGAGAGACGCCGGCTTCCAGCATGGTGCGGCTCCCAAAGAGTCTAACACCGGTTCTCTCCCCTCTTACCGGTCCCGGAGCAGCTGGCGGCGGCTGGGCGGCTCTGCCCGCGGCCAGTCGGAGCGAGGGCGCTGGGCACCAGTGAGCCCCGACAGACGGAGGCGGGGCGCAGCGGGGCGCTCCGCCCGCTGACAGCCCGCACGCTCCACTTCCCACTTTGTTTCCTTTCGACTTGCAACAGGAAAAACAACAGGTCCCCCC